AAAAGAAGGTACTTTCGATAAAATAAAAGTTTTTACTGTAGAAGAGTTAGCAAAGGCAACTGATCAATATAATTCGAATTGAATTCTTGGTCAAGGGGGACAACGTACGGTCTATAAAGGCATGCTATCAGATGGAAGAATTGTTGCAATYAAGAAATCCAAAATAGTGGATGAAAGTCAACTTGAGCAATTCATTAATGAGGTTGTCATATTTTCCCAACTCAATCATAGGAATGTGGTTCAACTATTAGGATGCTGTTTAGAAACAGAAATTCCTCTATTAATTTATGAATTCATCTCTGGTGGAACACTTTTCCACAATATCCATAATGAAAACGAGGATTTTCCATTGTCATGGGATGACCGCTTAAGAATTGCTACAGAAGTTGCAGGAACAATTGCTTACTTACATTCAGCAGTTTCCATGCCTATATACCATAGAGACATAAAATCTTCAAACATTCTCTTGGATGATAAACGTAGAGCTAAAATATCAGACTTTGGGACTTCAAGGACAATTGCAATTGATAAAACCCACTTAACTACATTGGTGCAAGGGACCTTTGGATACTTGGATCCTGAGTATTTCCCATCAAGCCAATTCACAGAGAAAAGTGATGTTTATAGTTTTGRTGTTGTTCTTGTGGARCTCCTAACAAGAAAGAAACCAATATCTTCTACTAGATCAACAGAAGGGGGAAGCTTAATCACATATTTTGTTTCTTTGATAACTGAGAATCGACTTTTTGAGATTCTTGATGCTCATATCATAAAAGAGGATAGAAAAGAGGAGCTACAAGAGGTTGCCAACCTTGCAAAAAGGTGCTTGAGTTTGAATGGCAAAGAAAGAACAACAATGAAAGAAGTTGCATTAGAACTTGAGGGATTGAAGAGACATAGAAGATATTCTCAAGTTCAAAAGAACATTCAAGAGGTGCAGTTCATCATAGAAGAACCATTAGGTTTATGGGATACAGGTTTAATATCAGCTGGACATAAAAGTTTGGAGAGTGGTGCCATATTGCAACTAGATGAACAACCACTATTGGTTAATCCATCCTCTCAATCATCTTAAAATAAGATATTGATATAGGATGCACTGTGAAGGACTTCTGGGTAGACTGAAAATATCAACTTGGATGACAAAAAATGATAGAAAATCATGAAAAAAGACCTAAAACTTCCAATTAGGAAATAAAAATTTACCCGCTTTTGTCACCAAATATGGATGCTGGAAAATAATTTATTTGTAGTTATTATGATGCCATGTTCTACCTTTTATTAATATGCACACATCTTATCCTTGCACATCTTAGAATATATATATATATATACCAGGGGTTCTCTCTCCGTGTGGGAAATGGAATATACTCGTACGAGAAGATTC